GGGGGAGGGAGCTGGAACCGGTTCTAAACGGCACTGTAGATTTGTGGAACCTCTTCTATAGAAGGGGTTAGAACTGGCAGGAACCCACCCCTAATTGTAAGCCATCTAAAACTCTTCCCCAGTATGAGATTAAACCTAAATGTATTAATTCAGAATCAAATTGGATAATCCCTAGTGGTTGGAATAGCCTATAGATTTTCTCTTAAATTCCATAAAATAAGAAAAGAAATACCCTGTTTCCCCCCAAATAAGATCTCCCCGGATAATAAGCCCAATCGGGCTTTTGAGCGCATGCACTAAAATAACCCCCATAAATAAGTCCTCCCCAAAATTATAGCAACACAGCAGCAGCCACTCGCCACCTCCTGCACCTTAAAAATAATAAAAGCTCCCCCAAAATAAGGCCAAGTGCTTATTTCAGGGGTCAAAAGAAAATAAGACTCTGTCTTATTTTGGGGGAAACACGATAGTTAATATTCAAAGCTGTGGTTATGACCAGAATTATGGTCATAAATTGTGGTGGTCATTAAGCAGATCATCATGTGACCGCTCTTGATTTTATGACCTTTTTTGCAACACTCATGAAGCCAATGCCAGGGTCATTAAATGACTTTGTTTTTCTCACAGTGTGTTTTTTGCTGGAAGTAAACTAGCCAAAAATTATGTGAAGCTGTAATCAGCTAAACTGGTTGCCAAGTGCCCAAATGCAATCATGTAATTTTGCAGGGAGGTGTGTCCCTCAAAACTTAGAAAAAGTGTCTTAGGTAACTCTGGAAAGGTCCATTGTAACTTTGAATGGTTGCTAAGCAACCGGTCATTAAGTGAGGACTACTGTATACCATGGTGAACAGAAACAAAGCACATTTTAGTTAGTATAATTGCATATATCTAACCATTTTGTTGCAAACTAGTATCTAACAACCACCTTTCTTTTTGGAAGCCTGGATGCCATGGAATTACAGGGTACTGGCAGTAGCAACAGCACTTAAACTTATGTACTGCTCCATAATGCTTTACGGCACTCTCTGGGCAGTTTAGAATGTCAGCATATTGCCCCCAACAATGTCACACCTAGAATATTGCATCCAGTTTTGGTCACCACATTACAAAAAGGATGTTGAGACTCTAGAAAAAGTGCAAAGAAGNTTGTTGGGGGCAATATGCTGACTCTCTGTAAACCGCTTAGAGAGGGCTGAAAGCCCTATGAAGTGGTATATAAGTCTACTGCTATTGCTATTGCTATTGCTACAGTGGTTAAAGCAGAAACGTGGGGAGAGAAAGGGAGATTTTTACCACCTATCTTGTAATGAATGAGGAAGAGGCAATTAATAATCTTAATTTTACATTGTAGTCCGTGTAACAATTCTATTTTTAAAAATTCGGGACAAAGACTAGATAATGACCTCTGAAGGCTCCCTACTAAAATTACTGATGGCACCTAAGCAAAAAGAGGCAGTTCATGAGAAAATGGTAAATTTGGAAAGGAGCCGAAGGTCAAGGAGTGCTACTGTTTCAGCCTACTACTTTGGTTTTTTTTTCATAATGCTATTTTATTAGTACTCCAAAACAAGGACATGCTTTTCTTTTCCTGTGTTAATTAATCTTTTAATGGTATGTTTGGGCTGTAGCAGTGGGTGGGTTCCTACCGGTTCGGACTGGTTTGGCCGAACTGGTAGTGGTTTGGCGGAACTGGCAGCAACCCAGACCTGCCACACACCCGAACCAGTTCTCCAGATGGCGCCATCTTGTTTTTAGCTTCTGCGCATGCACAGAACAATTTTAATTGCATGTGCATGCTCGTGCAGTGTGCACATGAGTGAACCAGCAGTAGTGCCTGTCAGAACCCACGCCTGAGATGTAGGATATCTCCAACATAACCAAGGAAGTAAATTTCTTCTTCTCATTTTTCAGAATTAAAAATCACAGAAGTTAATAGATGAGCTAATGAAGAAAAGTCTATTTTATTTATTCATGCATTCAATTGATATAGCTATCCATCTCAAACAAATGATGATTCTGGATGACTAACAATAATTAAACAAAACAGGAAAAAGCCAACAAAAATAGATTATTGGCAGATCAGATTTTTAAAAAATCCATACCAATATACTACATATATTTCAGCAAAATCAATTCACTTTGCTCCCTGCTAACACAGGAACACAGCTATGCCTTCAGGGCCATGCAAAAGCCAACAGGGTCAGGACTAATCTGATCTCCAGGGATTGTCCCAAATGCTATTTTATTTCCTCTAATTAACAGTATATTTATTTGTTTAGTAAAAATAGTTTAACCCTTGCTTAATGCTGGGACATCAAGGTGACGCAAAAGAGGTATGAATACTAAGATATATTAGAATATAATGCAACAAAATCATGGCTATTATTATCAATGTTTTATTATTTTTTAAAACAATGGAATTCAACTAATTCCTAACCAATCACTAAGAAAGCAGCAGGATAAAAGTCTAGAAAAATTACAGGACAGGGAATACTAATGCTGGAGGGATAACTAGGCCAGGAATTAATACTGTCTTTTTCCAGATGCTGTCTCGAATTCAGAATTGCCCTTTCTTCTGGGAACTACTGCATAACAATGAAGTCCATTTTGTTTAAATTGCTGTTACAATCTTGTACAAAAAAAAATCCATGTGGAAATGTTATTGGATGTTAATTAGTGTGATTTGGTGCCTATGAATCAAGAACTAATTCCATTTATCTCTCTTTTTCTTTCTGGCTTGTTTGTTGCTGTCTTCCTGTTGCCGGGGGCCTTACGCAGTGGCAGACCATTTCTCTGACCGTCATCGAAAAAGTTCAGATAGCAGCAGCCATCTTGGGTTCCCTTTTCCTTATCGCCAGTATCTCGTGGCTCATCTGGTCAACTTTCAGTCCGTCCGCTAAGTGGCAACGCCAAGACCTGCTCTTCCAGATCTGTTATGGGATGTATGGCTTCATGGATATTGTCTGTATAGGTGGGTCAATGAATCTTTCAAAGTATGGGAAGTAGCCAATGGAATATTTGACTCTAAAAGGACCTTGGGGAGAACAGTTGCTATATATCCTCTTGACAAGGTGTAAAAGAGAAAGTAGAAACTAAGGTGGTTTTCTTAGAGCTAACTAAAGCATGTAGATTAAAGTAGACTAACCAACCTCATTGCTACTGGTAGCCCTTCTTGTCAACTATTGTAAGCAGTGGTGGGTTTCAAAAATTTTTAGAACCTCTTCTGTAGGTGTGGCCTGCTTTGTGGGAATGGCTTGCCAGCCATGTGACCTAGTGGGAGTGGCTTGGCAGTCATGTGACTGGGTGGGCATGGCCAACTTATAACATGTGGTGAAACTCACTTAACAACGCTTTTGCTTAGCAACCAAAATGTTGTCTCAGAAACTCTGGCATTTGAAGCATGCAAGTCTTAAAGCTGTAAAGTTACAAGATCCTTACACCCCCTTTAGGGAAAAAAAAACCAGGGGTGTTCAAACTTGACAACTTTAAGACTTGTGGACTTCAACTCCCAGAATTCCTTCTCTCGCTCTNTAATTCTTTTTTTTTTAGTTTTGTTTTATTTGTTCGTCAACTAAATTTATATTCTGCCCACCTCACCATCAGTCGACCCCAAATTCTTGGAACAATATCTAATCTCCTACCAGGAGGCTGCCTAAGTAAAATAAAGATTTTGCAGTAAATGAATGACCTTCAAAAATTGGAAGGAAAGAAGGTTTTTGTGATCTCTGTCTTCTTTGGTCTCACAGAGAAACTCCTGAGCTGTCTCCTGTGTTTGCACCAACCTGCCTGGCAGCTTTGAGATCCATAATTAAAGCTTTTCCTCACCCCTGCCCTGGAAATAGGTTTGTCTGGAGTTTAGCATATTTAATTTAACCTAATTACACAGTGGTGATCCTGCTGTTTAGTCAACTCAGGGCTCAGAGTAGAATTAAGGCTAATTCTCTACTAGAAAGGAAAGAGCAATAGTCTTTTCAGAGTGAATCTATTTACCATATTTATCGGAGTATAAACACACACACACAGAGGCTAAAAGAGGGTGGAAATGTGGGTGTGTCTTATACACCAAATGTAGCCCCGCCCACCCACCAATTGCCTCCCAGCAATTTGCCTCCTTGCAGCAAGCAGCGAACAGCCTGTTTCAGTTTCGGCTTCAGCACTGTTTTTGCTTGATTAGCAAAAACAGCTGATTGTCAATTGGATTGGCTTCCCGACCATCAGCTGTTTCAGGCTGCAGGGATTGCCATTGCCTATTGCCGCTTCCGCGCACCCCATTTTCCACCCATTCTGATCTCTGCCACCCATAACAGGTGGGAAATGGGGCACACAGAAAATGGGCCGCACAGAAAACAGTGTGCGGAGGCGGCAATAGGGTACAGCAATCCCTGCGGCCTGAAACAGCTGATCATTGGGAGACTGATCCAAATGACAATCAGCTGCTTGTGCTAATCAGGCTGTGCTGAAGCTGAAGCTGAAGCTGAAACAGGCTGTTTGCTGCAAAGGAGTTTTCCTCCCCAAAAGCTAGGTGCGTCTTATACTTCGGAGCATCTTATACTCCGAAAAATACGGTAATAGAAACAATGCTAAAGGTAGAGATACCACTCAATAGTCTCCCTGTGACTTAAGATGTACAGGTAGTCCTCGACTTACGACCACAATTGAGCCTAGTATTTCTGATGAGTTAAATGTGTTACGTGAGTCCAAAATAGTATAGGGTCCTCTGCCGAAGCCGGGGGTTGGACTAGAAGACCTCCAGGGTCCCTTCCAACCCTGTCATTCTCTGTCCCGGGTTCTAATAGAAAATTAACAATGAATTAACTGTTCTTGGACTAAAACTTTACTTTATAAATGGCATTTACTAATGGTGGAAAAAATTACCAACAACTAAGGGAGCTGAGTTAAATAAAAATTTTAACTTGGCCCTGGAATTTTTCCATCCAAGTTCCACCTTGGAACAATTCGGTCCTGTTTTTCTTAAAGGAAGCAGAACTGCTAAAACAAGGATTGCACACATGTGAATACACACACAAGCAATTTCTTTTAAAGCGCCACTAAATCATGCCACAGTGCTTAGAAAATAAAGACCATCTTCTAGATGTTCTACCGTTGTGATGACTTGCTTCGCGAAAGACGCTTGGATTTTTTGGAACTTGGAAAAGGAATGAAATCTCTGCACAATTTAAGCATAACGGCACCAGTGAGACAAAAGGATGGTGTGGTCAGAGAGGAGTTCTTTTGGCTCTTAACCACCCCCCCCCCCACTAGAAACAAATCCTTAAGAATCTGTCAGTTGGAGCAATGCCTCTCTTGATGACACTTTGGGAATTGAGGCTACCAACGAATGGGGCTTTCCCCCAATTCTCAAGGAAAGAGAATAAGGAGAGGAGTTATTTACCACGCTTTCAAAAGTGCGAATTCAGAGTAAAAGTTGTCCATAAATGATATTTTACTATAGGTTGCCCTCAACTTATGGCCACAATTGAGCTCAAAATCTCTGTTGTTAAGCGAGACATTTATTGAGTGAGTTTTGCCCCATTTTACGACCACTGTTGTCAAGTGACCTGGTTGTTAAGCAAATCTGGCTTAACCACTGATTTTGCTCGTCAGAAGGGCGCCAGAAGGGATCACGGGACCCCCCTCATAAGTACGAGTCATTTGCCAAGCATCTGAATTTGGATCAGGATGTCGGAATGGTCATTAAGTGTGAACAAAGGACTTGTCTCCACCGGAAGTTTTTCGAGGGGAAGGAGCGTCACTAAAGATAAGATCGTCCTGCAGAAAATCTCAGGAGTGGGAAATGGTTTGATGGCACAAAATCCATCCATTAATCCCTCAAAATAACAATTGGGCCCTTTTCTTTTCTTTTCTTTTAGATTCAGCTGGATTGCAGTTTTAAATATCTCCCTCCACTAAAATGGATACAGGGATACTAAGAAAATGCACATTAAAACAGAGTTCCAAGGAAATTTTGTGACTCTGTTTAGTAAACGGTAAATGTTTGGGCTGTGAGGTAAAACACTAGATGGCACCACAGAATGGGATTAAAATCAATCATGTTATTTTTCCCTTCCACTGTAGAGAATTATTCACCAGAAAAACTGCCTTAAAGAAATTCCAGACAGTCCTACTAACAAAAAGAATTTGTCAGCCAATCCTGGTTGATGAATTGTTTGAGGTTTTAATATATATTGAGAGAGGGGGGAGGGAGGGAGGGAGGGAGAGATTATAGATAGATTGATATAGATAGATGATAGATAGATAGATAGATAGATAGATAGATAGATAGATAGATAGATAGATAGATAGATAGATATAGAGAGGGAGAGAGGCAGACAATGAGATAGATAGATAGATAGATAGATAGATAGATAGATAGATAGATAGATAGATAGATAGATAGATATAGAGAGGGAGAGAGGCAGACAATGAGATA